GTTTGACCCACCTTAGTAACTTTAGTTCGAACTTTGTATTTGTCATTCAAAAAATTCATTGAATATTGGGGTAAACCGTTATCTCTTCATACCTGTTTACCCTCAAAATCGGATAACAATTGAATTTGTACGTGTTTTTAAGAATACGTGATCTAACTTATACAAAATGAGAAATCGGATTAAAATTGAAATAAACAATGAGAAAGTAAATGCAAACCACACAAGTTGAACAATCTTAGCCTTGGAAGGTTAGCTACTCTCGAGCCAAAAATGCCTTTATCGATGCTGGACAGAATGACCAGATAATAAGAACTAGAAATAATAATATATTGCTTTGGAATTCGTTTTACAATGTGTTGAATAAATTATCAGACCCCCTTTAATAGTAGAGGAGTCATACTTTAGGTACATTTCTATAAAAGGTAAAGATCTCTTAATTTGCTGATTGTCTGTTCCTTGTTGATACGTGCCGAGAGGCCCGCCATAATATTCGACCGATCGCGGATATTTCGATCTTCTGATAGTTATCTGAACAATGTTTCTCCGAGCTTGTTCGAGGCTAAGATCGACAACGGACTTAATGTTCCTCGAAGGCAGGCTTTCCGACCTCGTATTGTAGCTCAGTGGGACTCGAGGTTGATCTTCAGTCTTTGCTCGCCACGTTCCAAGCCTAATCTATCAAGTTGTAGTCGAGCTCGACTTCGACCGTAGGCTCGAACACGAGATATTTAGTTAAAAGTTAACAAGTAATTATCACTTCATCACAATCCTTACTGGACAAATATAACTAGTTAGCAACAGGTGTAAATGAACCAACTATTTTCAACTCGAATTATTAAATTATATAATTAAATACTTATTAAAATTATATATTGATATTAAATAATTATCATTTAACATGACTGAGTAATGAATATAATTTACTTCACACTCATGAGTAATGAATATAATTTTCTTCAACTCCGTTTCTTTTTGCCCCATGAAATTATTATCGATAAAAGATTATTGGTCTTTCTTTTTTTCTTCATCCCAAATTTTAATTACGTGGGACCCATTTAATTATCTAATGGTTCTGGTTGATTGAGAATGAGCATATTTTGTATGGTATATAGAATTATAATGACCCAATTTAATTGGATGCACGTGACAAAATCTTTCGTCTCAATATTAAACAGCTATTGCAAGTTATTAATATTATTTTTTCTCTTTTTCCTTTTGGCAATTCTAAAAAGTAGAAGGAAATTGTCAAAAAAACCAGAATAATAAAGAAATTATTATTATTATTAAATTATTATTATTATTATTATTATTATACTAACCTAAAACTTTTAAAACTCATGAGAGTTTGTTTTCAGCAATTTCAATAATAGTAATTTTTGCCCAAAGCTGTCATAAAAATAGGAAATCTAAAAATGTACAACAATACAAAGCATAGAGAGCAAAACCATATCCATAGCATTTAATGCTCCAGCCAAACAACACCTATGGACTTGTGTCATTTAGTGTGCCATTGGAGAGGGTGTCGCTAAAATTATTAAAATAAATCAATTTATAATTTTTTTTTTTGTTTTTTGGTTAAAAATTTATAAAATATAACACAAAGATATTTGCAACTTCTAGGCCTAGTTTTGTTAATCTCCAGTAAAAGCATTAAAAGCACTGGAGAAGTTACTACTTCCCAATATGCTTTCAACACAATTAATATAATCAATAAATAAATACTAAAAACAGTACTAAAAGAAATTAATTAAAACCCTTTGATTTAGCCTTGGTTTTGGGAAAACTTTCATTAAGAATAAATATTTATCCACACGTATTTATATCAACAACAACAACAAAAACAACTAACATACCCTATATATTCCCAACAGATAGTGTTTGAGGAGAGTGGTCTGTACGCAAAGATAAAGAGGTTGTTTCCAACAGACCCTCGGTTCAAAAAGAAGAAGAAGGAAAGCAAGAAAGAAAGAGAGAAGAAAAAGAGGGAGATGAAGGACACGTATTGATATCAAATTAAGCAAAATAAATTTTAACGGTTAAAAATTAAAGTAAAATTATATATCAGTAACTCGTTAAACGATAAATGCATAATATTTTATATTTGTTGATTTGATATAAACATCGAATCTGAGTAAATTTTTATCGGGACGGAGACGGAGACGGGGACGGGAACGGGAACGAGAGAGGGAGATGGGAGATGGATACTATTCATATATTTGATGGACCATGTCATGTGAAGGAAGACATAATAAAATCCAAGATGCCAGACAAAGTTGTTGAAAGATTAGAAAGGAATATTTGGGAGTATGAAAGGGAATTAGAAGGTAATGTGTGTGTTTTTATTTAGGTTTATGCACATGTTACCTATTTATGCTTACTACCAAACAAATACCCCTTTATATCTCAAGTCAATGCCTCTCTTCTACTTTTATCTTCATACATATGTATTCGTGTACGTATATTATAAGCAGTGACGGATCTAGAATTTTAAAGTCGTGGGTGTTTACTGGTAAAAATTCTGAAAAAAGAGAATAAAGGAGTTATTTATGGGTGCTTACTCGATATTTATCTGAATATCTTTGTAATTACCTATACAAATTTACTAAATCTTGTCAAAAATAATGGGTGCTCGAGTACCCAAAAATAACATGTAGATCCGCCACTGATTATAATTATTTTACTTACATCACTATTAAGAAAACTGAAATTAGCTACGAACTTTGTCACTTGTCTGTCGCCAAATAGCTTGTAGATAATAAATTTTTTTGGTAATATGTCGCTAAACCGTCACTAAAAAAGATTAATGGAGAATTTTTTTTGTTTAATTATTGAATTTGTCCATCGCTAATTCTTATTTTTTAGTAGTGTATATATTGATAATATATTTTTTACACTTTTTATGTAATTTAATTTGGTAGAACAATTACCATTTTTATCAAGTTGTCTGTTGATCTTATTATAGAGATGACATGTAATTATAAGAGATTTGATTGTATAAATATTTTTTATATTATCGTAAATAAAACATATACCTTATGATAAGGGTATAAATAAGTACATATGTGATCACAACCCCACCACCCCACCACCCCACCTCCACTTAGTTTCAAGAATCCATTGTTGGGGTTGGGGTGTGTTAAAGAATACTACAAAAATCTACGTAGAAGCTGTAGATGACATATTATCTTGAATACGTTTGTCTGTCCATGTTGAAATAAATTAAAAAAGGGCAGTCCGGTGTCTTAAACTCCCATTATGCTCGGGGTTCGGGGAAGGGCCGGATCGCAAGGATCTATTGTACGCAACCTTACCCTATATTTGTTCAAGAGGCTGTTTTCACAGTTCGAACCCGTGACCTCGTGGTCACATGGCAGCAACTTTATCAGTTACGCCAAGGCTCCCTTCAATGTTGGTATAAATTGGTATTTCTAATTAATTTAGTAATCAGAAAAAATAATTAGAGTAAGATAAAGTGTATAAAAATAAATAAATAAATATATATATATATATATAAAGGAGAAAAAGATACTAATAAGAAACAGAGAAATCTGAGAGAGAGAATGAAAACAGAAAAGACAAGAAGTAGAAGCGGAGAGAGTGGGGGAAAAAGAATCACAGAGTAGAGTTATCTGCGGGAAAGAAAATTGATCAAAAAGTGACTATTTATCTTTTTTGGGGGTTCAAAAAAACAATTAATTTTTATATTAATTAAATAAATTTTAAATTATTTCCTTAAAAATCAACTATATGCAAATGTTTACAGTATTATATATTTCTTTCTAGATTTAACTTTTGTAGGTAAAAGAAATTTTATACTATATTTAAGAAAGTAGCTCGGTGCACGAAGTATCCCGCATTCACGTAGAGTTCCAGAAAAACCTACATCCTAAGAGAAGTGACGTATACAGTCCCCTCTGATACAATCATCAGTTCCTGATTCTATGGTTCGAACTCCTAATGTATAAATTACATAGAGACAAATTTTACAATGCGTGTAACTGCATATAACATGTTATCCCTCTACTTTTCAAGTTTTTAACACGAAATATTAACTATTGTTGTATGTAAAATTTATGTGATGATAAAAAAAATTGTACAAGTTAATTACATGTAATTGACTATGGTAAACTTCATTCATAATTTGTTGAAGAAGATAATTAGCAACTTATTCTATCTTTTATTAGAAAATAAGGTCTTTATAATATCAGTTTATATTTGTTTACACTCATTTTTTTCATTTATTTTTCTCTTTATATATCTATATATATACATATCTTATATTTGTTCATACTTGTCTATATTTTTATTAATGTGATGTTTATGCTTTACTAAGCCGAGAATTTATTGAAAACAACCTTTCTATACTCACAAGGTAGGGATAAGGTCTGCGTACACATTATCTTCCCCAGACCCCACGGTGCGGATAATACTGGGTATGTAGTTGTTGTTGTTGTATATCATATATTCCCTCCGTTTCAGTTTATGTGAACCTATTTCCTTTTTTGTTCGTCTTATAAAAAATGATCCTTTCTAAATTTGGAAAGAATTTAGCTTAAACTTCCAATTATATCCTTAATGAGATGCTTTTATAACCACACAAATACTCTGACCCCCTTTTTGACTTGTTTAGCACCATAAATTTCAAAAGTCTTCAATATTTCTTAAACTTCATGCTCAGTCAAACAAATTCACGTAAATTGGAACGGAGGGAGTATTTTAAAAATAAAATAAAATAAATTTCTGAAATTTATGTACTTTTGTATTTTCTTTTGATGCTTTGCTTGTTTTGACTAGAGAGATAGAGAGAGAGAAGAAAATAGCCTCTCCTTGTTCTAGTGTCATTTTCCAAGATATACTCTCGAGGAATTAACACCTTCTTCTCTTCCTTTCCATTCCTTTTTCCTTTTTCTTTCTTTTCATTTATTTCTTTAAAATTTCTTCATATCTTCTTCTTCTTCTTCTATTTCTTCTTGTTGTTCTCTCCTTCTGCATATATTTTTACTATTAAAAGAAGATAAAAGAGTTTCTTTTCTCACTTTTTCTTTCTAAATCTATTAGCAAAATCAAACTTGAAGTTTGTCCATCTTTTTCTTTTTTCCCCTTTTTTCTACATCTCTTTGTGTGTGTGTGTCTTGTTTGTGTTTTTGTGCAACTTTTACTCTATTCTCCAGGGCATATCGTTATAAATTTTTGGGTTTTTTTGGAGCTAACAAAGAAAAAAGGAAAAGCTAAAGTCTTCCCCCCAAAGTAAAAAAGTCATTATAAGAAAATTAAAGAAAACATTCTTGAAATTTTCTTTTTTTTTTGGTTAGATTTTCTTTAGTAGTTTTAATCCATAAAAGATGCCATTAGAAGGGGTTTCCATTGAACCCCAATCAACTAATTCAAAGCCAATTCCTGATCTTTCTCTCAACATTAGCCCTCCAAATAGTTCATCTTCTCCATCTTGTAACAACATCAATGAATTGCTAGCAACTTCTAGTTTCGATCTCTCGAGTCGTTGTTGTACCAATGAAGTGAGTGAAAATCATAGAAGATTAGAGTTCGGTAAAGCAGGAAATTGCCTTACTGAACTCTCGTTAGCTCATCCAACCACCACCACAACCACCACCACAACCGGCACCATCAATGATGAAACAAGAAGGGGTTTTTTAGACTTACCAAGAAACCCTTATTACAACAACCACCATAGTCAAAATTATAACCATATGGTGCAACCAATGAATCAAATAAATCATGGGGTTTCTTCTTTAGATGTATCGGACGGTTTAAGACCTATCAAAGGTATTCCAGTGTATAATCACAACCGTTCATTTCCTTTCTTGGCTAATTTAGACAAAGAGAAAGATCCAAAGATGTGTTTTTACCCAATGGCTTCATCATCTTCACCACTTTTTTCTCCTACATCTTCTTCTCCTTATATTAATACTAGGTTTAATGGGATTTCATCTTCGTATCAAGTGCCACATCATCACCTACATCATAGTCAATATGGTGTAGGATTAGGGCATTCTTCTCATGAAACTGCAACTTCTCATCATAGTTTGATGAGATCAAGATTTTTACCAAAACTTCCAGCTAAAAGAAGTATGAGAGCACCAAGAATGAGATGGACTAGTACTCTTCATGCCCGGTTTGTTCATGCTGTGGAGCTTCTTGGTGGCCATGAAAGTATGATTTCTGTAGCTTATTTTATGTTATCGGAGACGGATCCAGAATTTAATCTGAATGTTTTCAAACCTTTGATATTTTTAGCCTGAACACATTGTACATCAGTTCAAACTTATTATCGATGTTTCGTTCTAAAATATTGATTTTTGTGATTGTCACGGATTCTATTGTATGTTTTCGTATTCTTGAGTTGATGGTTTCTCGGAAATAACTTCTCTATCCCTCCATGGCAGGGGTAAGCTCAGCGTACGTATATCGAGTGGGTGGTTGTAGTTGTAGTTGTTGTTTCGTTCTAAAATATCGAGTTCAGTTGAACCTGCGTATCCTCTGTATGTTATAATTTCAATATTTTTGAGGTGGGAAATGATGAAAAAAGTCTAATCTTGGATTTTTGTTTTTGTGTTCTTGATTTTTAGGGGCAACACCAAAGTCAGTATTGGAGCTAATGGATGTGAAAGATCTTACTCTAGCTCATGTCAAAAGCCATTTACAGGTACTTAGAAATTAAAAAAAAATTAGAATATTAAATAGAACAAGAAGAATCTGTTTTTTATTTTTTAATATATTTTTTTCTTCTTCTCTTTTTTCTCTCTGTCAAAGGTCCCTAGCTCAGGATGAATTCCTCCGGCACATTAGCCGATAAAAATACAGTGATTGACTGAGTGAATGAATTAAAGAAACAAGTCTTATCTTTCTGATAGTATCAGAGAGAAAGAAAAAAAAAACAAAGTGAGAAAAATATATACTTAGGTAAATATACTAGTCCTACTATAGTAAGAATAATAGGG